GTGTAGTCATCCCGCTATCTCGTGTGAAAACACGATGCCAATTTTTAATACTAGCTAGCAAACTGACCCTGCCGGACATTGATATTCATTAGTTAGGGAGAAACCAGACTTCCGATAGGGGCAATTGGACTTGTGCCGCAACACTGATACGAACTAAATGTATTTTGTTTTGTTGCGAGTTGTGCAGCGGTATGCATCGAGGTACAATATATACTTTTCTCAATAATTGTATTTTGCACTTTTTGTTTACGTGCTACGTGCATCGTCACTGCATTTAATCTATTTTTAGTGTTTACACCAACATTTATATTAGTGTCGACCCCCGCGGCACCAACTGGTGTTAGGGTATCTGGTGTTTGTTTAAGTGAGGGCCTTGCGACTGCATGCAGTCTGAGCGTACAGTTAATCTCTTGACTGCCGTCAATCTATCGTTGATCCTCACATTTTGAGTGTTTGAATAATGAACGATGTTGACGTCACCTCGGGGACGTTTCCCGGTGCGGAAGTTCTGGGTTCACTTTAGAGGAGAAAAGATGACTCGGTGTTAACAAATGGGTTTGGAAGTTAGCGGTTATTTCGCCACCTACCGGCCTGTCAATAGTTCTCTCCCCTACACATGGAAGAGAGCCATAGAATTGTTTATGACACTATAACTATCCTCCAGCTGTTTTTGCTTTTGTGCATTTTCCCTAATGATAGCCCAAGTGCTTGGACCGAAGCACCATCTGCTATGACAGGACTCTTCTGCGGTCACTTTCCAAGTCCGGGGCCATTACCAGTAAATGAACTAGGTTTGAGAAACAGGATCGTTACTACGGATGTGGATGGATGGACACGCTGCAGCAGTGAGGAATAAGGACATTAACTTCTAACACTCAAAGGGTCAAATGATCGCTTATAGTATCAACCGCGTTGACTGTCAGTTGTTTGGGTCATAATTTTCTGAATCATCATCCATCAATAGGCGTGCTGCCCCTTCCCTCCCTATGACTTGACGAGAGTTCCGGCGAATATTATTTTCAGTATTATCAGTCATGCCAATCATCAACACCGAAAATGAAATCGGGGTCATCGATGGATAGAGATGGTTGATTGTGTGCCAATCACACTCTCAGAATATTGAGCCCTCTTTGCAAACGAAAACAGCTTAGTAAGCACATTTTCACTTTGCATTTACATTGAAGACCCTGTCGTCGCCTTTAAAAGAGCAAGATTAGCTTCCAAACTTTTGGTGCCATCTAGGAAGTA